GTACTTTAAAAGTTTCATAAATAATTTTAGTTCTTTGTATTTTTCCATTTGTCTTTTAAAAATTTTAACTCTTGGGGCACCTGGGTGGCTTAGTTGTTAAGCGTCCACCTTCGGCTCAGGTCATGATCCCTGCGTCCTGGGATTGAGCCCCAGCATGGGGCTCCTTGCTCAGTGGGGAGCCTGCTTCTCCCTCTCTCACTCCCCCGCTTGTGTTCCCTCTTTTGCTGTTTCTCTCTCTGTCAAATAAATAAAACCTTAAAAAAATTTTCTTAACTCTTTTAAGATACCTGTAATTAATTTGGGAGGGTACCAGGTTGCTGACCAGTTACTCTAGCATTGCTCTCCCCTTCTCCTCCTTCCACTACTACTAAGTTTTTTTTTTTTAAGATTTTTGTATTATTTATTTATTTGACACAGAGAGAGAGCAAGCGAGGAGGGGGAGCAGGAGAGGGAGAAGCGGGTTCCCCACTGAGCAGGGAGCCCGATGCGGGGCTCAATCCTAGGACCCTGGGATCATGACCTGAGCTGAAGGCAGACGCTTAACCAACTGAGCCACCCAGGTGCCCCAGTTGTTTTATGTATTATATTAGCATTCATTTTGGAGTCAACCTGTTCTGTATCCATTTACCAGTTTTGTTGCTAAGTTCACCTTATTTTAACAAGTTTGTTTAAAAAAAATTAAAATTCAGGGACACCTGGGTGGCTCAGTCAGTTGGGCCTGTGTCTTCGGCTCGGGTCGTGATCCCCGGGGTCCTGGGATTGAGTCCCATTTCGGGCTTCTTGCTCTGCGGAGTCTCCCTCTGCTTGTGCTCGCTCTCTGACAAATAAGTAAATAAAATCTTTTTAAAATTTTATTTAAAAAATTAAAATTCAATAACTTAATTTAGAAAACTAAAAAAAAATCTTGCCTATTTATTATTGCTGAGAAAATAAGGAAAACTTGTCAAGTTCAAAAAAGTTTTTTGTAATTTTATTGTCATTTGTACTAAACTTGAAATTTTTGAAACATTTGCCATTTATGTATTTAATTTTCTCAGTAAAAATTGGCATGTCTTACCAACTATTTCAGCCTTCTTTGTATCTCAATTTTTATTGTAAACCATATGATTTTCCTGTTACAGTATTTCCTAGATGGTTTTACATTTTGATACTATTGTGAATGAGATCTCTTTTTATATTTTCTATCTTGTTATTGTTAGGCTATTTTCAGAGTTCCATAGATTTCATGTATACCTATTTAGCTTGTTCCACATAAACATAAATTCTTTTATGTAATTTTAAAATTGTTTCTTCATTTTTCATAGTGTTTTCATTTCTTCTTTCAGGCCTTCTAGATACATAGTTATATCTCCCATACTACACAGCAAGCACCATGAGGACTGAAACTTTACTTTTACTTTTATAAAGTACCTGTCATATAATGTATATCAGTGTATAAATATTTGCTAAATAAATGAGTGATAAGTAGAGAAAGCACTACAAGAATATAGTGACTTGGGTGATGTTTTTATTTTCTTTGTACTTTATTTTCTTCTTGTCTATATAAGGTTTTTTAGAGTAAGCATCTTATATTTCTGTAAGTGGAGAAAAGCAAATTTAAGGGGAAAAAAAACTTACCTGTAAGTTTTATTTCTTAACTGAGGTCAAAGGACATTTTATCATTTTAGTAGAGTTGATTGAATGTTTCCTATAAATCGCAGCCTTGAGGAGTGATCTATGAGGACATGACGTTGAACCCAAGAATAGGAAGCAGGATTCTCATAAGGAAAATAGTGGGAAGCTCTGCAAATTCCACAAAATCTTTTGTTTACCACCACCATAGTCAAGATACAGAATTATTCTGTATCTCCCTCATGCCACCCCTTTATAATCATACTCTATGTTGGTATTCCCCAAGACTGCCACCAGGTTTGGTAATTTGATAGAAGGACTCATAGGACTCCTGTACTCCTGGCTATGTTTTATACCTAGTGAAAGGATACAAAGCAGGATCAATAAAGGAAAATGGTGCATTGAACAGAGTTTAGAGGATACCAGGCATAAGCTTCCAAGAATCTAATCCCAGTGGAGTTACACAGGGTGTGTTTAATCCCCCACCAACAAATTGTAGCAACATATGTGAGGTGTTTTCTGTTCGGGAAACTCACTTAAGCCTGAATTCCAGGGTTTTTGTTGAAGGTTGGTCAGACAGGCACAACTACGTAGTTCTTCATGACTGACCACAGTTAATCCAACTCCAGACCCCCAGAAAGAAAGCAGGTGTTCACCATACATCACACTGTTTGCACGAACCATCTAAGCAAGTTTGTATAGTGTGGCTTGAAGCTCCAAGAGTACAAAACACAAGGACACTTCCAAGACCTCCATTCCCAGAAGCTGACCAAGAGCCAGTCACATACT